ATTTTGACCGGAATTTGCCGACGTGGACGCCTGCCACGGCCGGCATCTACCGGCGCCGACGTGGACAACTTTAATAATATTTTAATATTTTTTTGAATTTTTTTTTTTTTTTTTTTCTTTTTTTTTCCACTTTTTTTTTTGGTCCCCCCCCCCCTCCTTCCTTTGGCCAGTCGCCGGTCCGGCGACCGGCCAAAGGCCAGAGGCCGGCGAGCTCGACCTCACTGGCCACCGGTGAGGGCAGCGGCCTCTCCCGGCGAGGGCGGCGGCCTCTCCCGGCGAGGGCGAGCCTCGCCTTGGTCGGGCGAGGCTCGCCCTCGCCGCGGCCTCCGGCGAGGGCTCGAGCCTCGCCATGGTCAAGCGAGGCCCGACCTCGCCGGATCCGGGCGAGGTCGGCTGGGCGAGGCTCGACCTTGCAGATCCGGCGAGGTCGAGCCTCGCCCGACCATGGCGAGGCTCGCCCTCGCCGCGGCCTCCGGCGAGGGCTCGAACCTCGCCCGACCAAGGCGAGGCTAGCCCTCGACGGGCGAGGCCGCCGCCCTCGCCAGTGGCCGGCGAGGTCGAGCTCGCCGGCCTCTGGCCGGTCATCGGACCGGCAACGGTCAGAGGAAGGAGGGTGGGACCAAAAAAAAAAGTGGAAAAAAAAAGAAAAAAAATAAAAATTCAAGAAAATATTAAAATTGTCCACGTCGGCGCCGGTGACCAGCCGCCGGCCGGCAGGGGTCCACGTCGGCAAATTCCGGTCAAAATTGACCGGAAGGACTAAATTGACACAAAAACAAAAGGTTTAGGATTGAATTGGCATCAATTTAAAAGGTTTATGACTTAATTAGCACCAAAAAAAGGTTTAGGACTAAATTGGCACCAATGCAAAAGGTTTAGGACTGAATTGGCACCCAAAAAGGGTTTAGGACTAAATTGACACTAATGCAAAAGGTTTAGGACTTTTTTGGCACTTTTCCTGTGATTTCTGCGAGTCGGACCAGATGACGAATAGTCCGTAGTATGAAAACAAGTGTAGCTTCTGCTCCTGCCCATGTAACATTAACACAGTTGTCGCTTTATAAAATCGGAGGGACATTTTCTTGTTGGGATGAGTAAAAGTTGATGGAATTCTTCATGGGCGATGGTCTCAGTAAAAAGAAGCTATAATTTCGAGTACAATATGAAAATTTTCTCATTCGATATTCAAATGCGGTAATTCGGTGTTTTAAATCGGTGTTTTTTGCTCTCAGTCTTATGGGAATGGTCGTATGTTGTGGGTTAATTGGTGATTGAATTGGGTTGGTTTTGCTTATTTTGGAACATTTTTGCTGATAGAGATTAGAGAACGAGTGCATTGATGGTCCTTCTTCAATTATTGAATAGACCGTAGCTGATCCTATGGAGGAGATGGAGGAATGGTGGGATCCATGTGATGCATAAAGACGGGTTGGTCCATCAATTCCTATCATCTGAGGTTGAGACATTTTCCACGTCCTGCTACAGTTGATGGTGAACTTTCTAAATTCGTCACGACCACATAATAAGCATTCCAAGATGAGATTTTACCCCCCATTCTGTACTTGACAAGGTGTTTGCATTGATTCTACTGATGATGTGAATGAGTTTGTGCTAAATGTGGTGCCTTTGTGGATGCAATTAGAGATCTATGTCAACATTTCATTTTGATTATGGAAATCAAGCTGCTGCTGAAAAGGTGGGAAGGTGCAACTGTAGTGGGGCTCTTGAAGATTTATGAATTAAAGGTTTAAGTTTCGTTCAGATCTGTTGCGAGGTTGGGAATGGGCAACTATAGTGGGGCTCTTGAAGATGCAAAAGAAGCGTCAACATTAGCTCCTCAGTACACTGGGGGCAGTGAGTTAGTAGTTCCTCAGTCATCTTTTGACGATATGAGTTGTAGTTACTAGAGACTTTTCTACTCTTTCATCATTATGATATGAGTATTGGTGATAGTTTTATGACTGTGTCTCCTTTAACAATTTTCTGTTGACGTGAACAGATTGAATTGAAATACTTGTAAAAGCTGTATTTATAAAAATTTGGCAATGATAAGTCCTTCAAAATTCAGGTTGAAGGTCACTGAACGCTTCTGTAAAATGGAAAACTAGTTTTTGTCTTGTTTTGATGTGTTCTATCGAATTCTGATTTACATAAAAGAAAAAATTACTGTCAGCATGTCCATAGGGATCCTTTTAGGTGCAACTATTTAGTTGAGCATTGATATTTCTGCAACAGATAACCTTTAACTGACGGATTGTCAAAGAAAACATGGTTTTCATTGTTGTTATGAGGTAAAGGTGCACTTCTAGCTAATTTTGTTGGGTATCTATGACGGTTCTAATGGAAAGATTCACTTCTTTCATCTCATCTATCTTTGTTTCTCAAAGTGTCACCATGCCTTCAACCTTTGTCGGTGACGTTTAATATCTTTAGGCCAAACCACAAGGCCAAGGGTAAGCTGACAAAGGTTTACTTCTTTCAAATGTGAAGAACGAGAATAAGTTTCTTCTTTGGAGTGGCTAAAGTGATGGAAACTTCTTTAATCCGTTTTAAAAAATTTATTTATGTGTACTGCTGCAATTTCTCATATCGTGGAGTCCTATTGAGATTACTATTGGGATGCCGTGACAACTTTTGATTCTTCTCTCTTGAGTTGAAAGGCTTCCACAGAAACTAGCTGCTACAGATATCTCTTGAAGGTTGGCTGTGGAGTTATAAGTACCAAGTTAACGTGTATTCCTTGCAAATCATTATGCTTGATTGACTCGCTTTAGATAACCCACTCTGCTGTGGTGACTGGTCAGTGCTGTGAAAGTGAAGTCCTTAGCCGCAGTTTAGTGATTATCTTAATAATCAGTGAAGCAATTAGTTTGTTTGCCTTGTATCCACTTGTGAACCAAGTAATAAAGAGGACTCATTTTCAAAATTCCTCTTTAACATTGTTTTTACAATGATTAGTCTTCTTGTGCAAATGTTGCTTCACTTCACTGCTGGTTTGAGAACTGAGATCCTGCTCTTTAGTCCTCATCGATGAGCAGGATTTGGCATGCATTGGTGTGATTGGGTACATACACAGTTGATATAGGTTATACACTTAAAATGAGCAGGCCAATGGGAGGTACTGCTTTTAGGTAAGTTCCTTCGTTCTGTTACTTCTTTGTAATGTGTCAGCTAAGTGAAGGGATTTTGCAAACAGTTCTACATTATCTGTTCTGTTGCATTTTCCCCCCTTTTGTTTTATTAAGAATAGATGACAGGGAAGTGCTAGAGAGATGCAATTGACTATTTTATTCCTAATGAAAAATCTAGACAATAGGTATATAAAGTTGACTTTCATGTACATTGCCTTGTGTAAACACCTAATTTGGTTGCTTTCATGAGAGAGGTGACCGAAGGTCCCTTGCATTCTCATGTTTGTGGTGCAGCACCAAAATGATCAAAGGCTCTACATCAAAAGCAAGACTCTCATGCATAAGTAGCTATTTCCGCATAATTAGTATCATGACAAGTGGAGAGCAAACTCATGCTTATGCTTTGCACTCCTTTGCTTTTTGAGAACATTCTAGGTCTACCAAAGAAGCATCCGGCGTTGTCTTGCTATTCCTCAGTTCAAGGATGGAATTTGCGAGAGCATCCGCGCATTGCCATTTCTGTAAGTGCAGTTTCCGTTTCCTGGAAGCGGGGACAATGAAGAGGAGAAGCTTTTTGGGTTTTCGAGTTTCTGTTTGTGACCGTATAAGTTTAGCTGGTGGAGAGAGCAGGTTTCATCCCCCATGCCAAGATGGAATGATATAGCAGAGAGTAGAAAGGTTACCTGTTGCTGATGCTCATATAAGGTAGAGAGCAATTTGTAAGTTATGCTGTTACTGGTATATAAGATTGATTAAGTATTTGGCCATTCTCACTATAAACAACATTAATCAACAACATTTGTTGTTGCCGATCCATCATCCATGTTTTTACTTTCACTCTGGTACTTCACTCTAATGTCATCAATAAATGACTTATGATTGTTTCTAATATCGACAGATTTGGCAAGCCACTAGGCTGACGAGTGTCCATAGTGACCCCCGTCTGGTGAGAGTAATCCTACTCGACGGGAATGACTAAGAAAGGATGCAACTTGAGTTATGAGTCAAGACCGGTCAACTTGGCAGGCAGTACATTGACAAGACCTCCACTTAAGCTATCATATTGGAGGAATTAAAGACCAAGCATCTATTCGCCCTGTGGATTTGACTGTCACATATCAAGACATATCATAGTTGTCATGATGTACTGTCATTTGTTATGAACAACTGACGCTTACATTTTGGCCATCATCTATCGATCCTAACCCGACAGGCAAGAACTCTTTACCCGTATCTAAACTTCATACGTTTCCACCATCCTCCAAACTATGACTTAAGCATCCGAGGGCCAATCTGGGTGATCAACTGGGATGTCCTAACCTGTGTTCGTGGTTGCAGCTCCAATTGGTGGAGGAAGCCTTAACAGATCCTTGGAATTTTACACTTAACAGCTAGAACTTAGCTACACGAAAAGAATCCAAACACAAAATCTTCCTTGAAACAAATAAATTAACATAGCAATTAATCATTGGCGAGATCCTTATTAACAACATGGATATTTACAAATTTCACCGTCCATAATGATTTGCTTTTAATTGTTTACTCAAAAATGTATGTCACTTGAAATGTGTAGTGCAGAGATTCAGATGATACAGTTAGATTATCCCTCTCTTTCATGCGACCAAGGTTCTTGTAGAATTCTTTTTTTGGTCTGTGGATCTAATGCAAGGCCTACTGTATAAAAAGAGAAGAAAAATAGTTAACCCCACTTAAGGAATCAATATTATTGTCAACCCTTCATTGTTTTTCCTTGTTCAAAGTTCAAAACCTATGTTTTGCCTTCACTCTATTTTGTTTTTGTGTGGAACAGACATGATATATCACGCAAGGCAGCAGAAGAGATAAAACAATAGAAACCAAACATCCAGATAGCTGATACAAAAATATCCTCAATATTAAGTGTAAAATTCGAAGCATCGAAAGCAAAATTCAGATTTCAGTACAATTTTACTTCCCATGACCTAACAAGTTCATATTTTCAAAATGAATTACTAACTTTTTGTACCACCCATATCTATCGCATGACATTCCACTGATCGGCTCACTTCACGAATAATAACAAGCCAAAACTTTTAGCTATGGCTTAAAAGCTTGGTTAGATCCAAAGCGGAGGAGAAGATTTCCCCTTGACACACAGCTCGACTGTACCATCTTCGAGGTGGTATATTCCCATTTTTGTGTCTCCTCCATCTTCAGTAAACTGGGGCAATGAGAGATAATCGTCAGTGAAATAAATGCAATTCGGCTTAATGAGATTTTCATCGACCTCCAAAGTGAAGGAAGAATTGCAGCCCAAGAAGAGGGATGTGTTCTCCAAGCTCTCAACTTCCGTGCATGTTTGAGTATCAAGGTCAATCTCGAAAACCTGAAATTGAAAGGCTTTGGTATGTCTTTCTCGTTCCCGTTGTAACACAAACAATAGAGATCCTGTCGTTGATTGCACTAGATACACTTGAACCAGATATAAAAGAGAACCTGAAGGATACTCTTGCTCGCATTCTTCGACTTTTTGCGGCATCTCGAAAACTAATTGAGCCTCAAACGGAGTTGGTCCATCCACATCACACCTCCATATCCTACCCTCACAATCAACAGCAACGAAGCACTCCTTATAATATATGACATCGAAAACTTCGTAATTATCATCCGTGGGGAAGGCCACTGCCATCCACTCCTCCTCACCAGGTTTCCAAAGCCCCAACAGTCCAGAGTCGTAGATGACCATGACCTTGTAATCTAGAGATGTAGTAGGGCCATCAGATAGGACGAACTTACTGATGAAGTCAACATAAAAGGGAGGCAAAACATGGATGTTGGGGAACTTATTCCAATTGGGAAGCTTAATAATATTATTGTAACGCGACATGGGATTCTTTAGCATGTTTAATTCCCAGTCTCTGCTGATTGTCAACACCCAACCTCGCGAAGAGAAATATCTGTTCGCCATCGCTTCTGGCGGGAGCTTTGTGTGAACCTGCTGACATGGGAGGCAGAAAAACTCACGCCACAGCATCCCCTTTTTGTCCGTGAGCATCAACCATGGGACGTCACTCCTCTCTTTGGCGGCAGCGGATTGCCACGAGCGGCACACTGCTCGGAACGCCAATAAATTCTTCGGACAAAGGCGTCGCGAGCATAGTTGTAACAACTCTTGTGGGAGATTTGCCCAGTTTCTCGCCATACTAAATGTTATCGAATCGATCCGAAGCAGAATTCAGCAAGGGAGACAGAAAATCAGTTTCAATAATGTTAATATTTAACCATGAAGGATGTATATACGTAGAAAATTGCAAGTACAATGTAAGCAGAATGTTTTGGTAATGTTTAACCGATCCATTCCGGATTGACCGAATTGGTACAGAAGTCGTAACATGGGAAAACCACGGAAAACACGACTTATTTGAATAACCCGGTGACCTACCAATTGTAGAAGTAGGATCTTTGGCAAGCAATAAGCACTTAAATAATACAATTCGAGTGTACCATTCTGGAAGTAATATGGTCGGGTTGACAAGATATGGCTCTCGGTTTAATCACGAAAGAGGACATATACATACATGAAGAAGCCACAAATCATAATGCATTCTGATTTCACTCAGACATATCATCGAACAGGTGGCGTGCACTTCAATCAACGAACCTCTACCCACATATAAGGCAAAGAATTACTATCGGTTCATCACTACAGCATCAATGCACATTCGAAACACTGATAAAGCTTTACCCAGAGACGAATTACACATGATCTTCAGCCACATTTCTCAGACTCGATTAGCCCACATTCGATTAAGGATGCTCGTGTATCTGGTAGATGCAATGCCCAGGAACCCCCGGTTGGACTGCGAGCCGGAATTTCCAAGACGTCGTCGCCGCTGGCGGTTGACTCTGCAGAGCGCTGCAACTGCGCCTGAAGACGGCGATGACCGATGATGCCTCGGCTCGAACAGCGTTCAGAAACGATGGAGAAAGCTTATAAAAGACGGAAGGAAATTTCCGATTGTTGGGAAAACTCAATTCCCGATCGTCGTGTTCGAAACATATTCGGAACGAATTCGATCAATGCGGAAAACGTGCCCAAGGATCATCAACTTGTATCACCGATCGTACAGGCATATCACACAACGAACATACCCGGTATTGTCACAGATTAAGAGCCACTTTGCGCTTGAGAGTTCTACGATCGTCTTTCGTACTCACGTGCGTTCCGAAGCAAAAACAGAGAATACGTTGTGTCGAAGGAGTGTGTTTGCACATATGAAAAAATCACTTACTTTTTTCCAAGGGGTGCCTTCTATTATAGATAGGCAAATAACTACCTCGTGGGCCCTTGTGGCTCACGGGCCGGGTTTGGCCCATCTTGGGCGGTCCACCCAATATGTCTTACATCTCCCACTCGCCCACGATGAGCTAAACACAACTCTCTTCCTTGCAAAGTTCATATTGGCAAATAATCCGTGCGACCAGCATACTACGAGAGCTCGGTGTTATACATCTGTTAGGAATATATAACAGCTCAAATTTGGGCATTATCCAGAGTAGAATTAGTATGCAGTTCCCTAGATCAATCAGTCACAATTTTCATCTCTCTTGATCTCTTTTAGTATCTCGTATATTGTATTCACAACTATGATTTACTCAAAATCATAATTGGTCGACCTGTGAATACAAATATAGAATGTGACATCATAAATTAAATTGATCTTCCTCTTTCCTTAAACCTCTCCATTTCAGTCCAACTCGCTTTTCTAGAAATGCCCCGTTAGACCGAATTATCATGATCATCGGCAACATCCTAAGATAGCAAACACTGAATAGAAATTTTGAGAATAAGTAAGAGTCGTGAGGGCACTTTAATTGAGAAGAACTATTTTCTTCAAAAGTCTCACACGACTTAAAAATTGAGATCACAAATTTTTGCCAACTCTTATCGGTCGTCCCATGCATACGTAATATGAAATACGTATTACGGTATTCTCTCCTTTTCCCATAGAGCGTATGTCTTTACTCTCAATACCGTACAGATGATTGTTTAGACATACTCAATGTCTAACTTGAGTCCACAAATCTACTCTATTCATAAGCATCTATCAGAACTCACATCTGGCATCAAAGACAGGTAAAGTGAAATATGTGGGTCATTTCACTTTCGGACATAATAATCTATATGTCCTCATCTTAACATTCTGTTAAGGCGATGTCCATGCTTCAAGCTTGAGCTCTCAATTATCACCTAGATAACAAGCTTAAAACTGTCTCATCTCTATTCATCACACAGTGAGTAGAGGCGATTACCCGTGTGAGTGGGCTAATCTCTCATCTGTCCGACATACCTTTTCAATATAATGCACTCAGCATCAACATTCACAAACGTCATACAAACTTATAGGCATTGATAATAACAAACTTCATTAATAGTGAACATTCTGGGAAAATTACAATATTCAGTACATCATATTCTACACAGTCCTAGAGATCTCACATGACCATGGAAAACTTCTCTAGGAATCGGTTTCGTCATAGGATCTGCTATCATCCTTTGTGTAGATATGTACTTCACGTTCACTTCCTTTCGTGCAACCATGTCCTTGACATAGTTATACTTGATATCTATATGTTTGGTCTTTCCATGGTACTTGGGATCCTTAGTGTACGCTATTGCTGCTTGGCTATCACAATAGACCAATACTGGGTTTGCAGCATTCTCAGGAACACCTAAGTGATCCAAAAATCTTCTAAGCCAAACAGCTTCTTGTGCCGCTGCTGATAGAGCCACGAACTCGGCTTCCATTGTAGATAAGGCTACACACTGTTGTTTCTTACTGCTCCAAGATATGGCGCCATTATTCAGTAAGAATACGTATCCAGAAGTAGATTTCCTTTCTTTTAAATCTCCTCCCCAGTCAGCATCAGTATAGCCTTCAAGGTGTAGATCACTTCCTTGATAAGTCAGCGCATAGTCGGCACTTCCCTTTAGATATCTCAGGATTCTTTTGACGGCGATCCAATGTGCTTGACCTGGATTGGATTGGTATCTACTTACCATTCCTACTGCATAACAAATATCAGGTCTTGTACACATCATAGCGTACATCAAGCTTCCGACAGCACTAGCATATGGAACTTGTTCCATTTGCTCCTTTTCTTGTGAAGTCTTAGGACACATTCTGTCGCTTAATGCTTCGCCTTTTGCAATAGGAGTATCTATTGGTTTACAGTCTTGCATACGAAATCGCTCAAGGATTTTATTCACATACGTCTCTTGTGAAAGGGATAGGGATTTCTTTGAGCGATCTCTTGAAATCTTAACTCCAAGAATGTATGCAGCTTCACCCATATCTTTCATCTCAAAATTGGAAGATAACCAATTCTTGACTGTATTAACCAACTCCATACTGCTTCCGGCAATTAGTATATCATCAACATATAATGACAAGATCACAAATTGATCTTTGGATCTTTTGATATATACACAATTGTCTTCACTAATCATTACAAAATCATATGCCATTATGGCATTGTGAAAACGTATATACCATTGTCTCGAAGACTGCTTAAGGCCATATATCGACCTCAATAGTCGACACACTTTGTGCTCCTGGCCTTTTGTAATGAAACCAACAGGTTGTTCCATATAAATTTCTTCCTCCAATTCTCCATTGAGGAATGCAGTCTTTACATCCATTTGATGTAATTCAAGATCCATACTAGCTACTATTGCCAGAATAAGACGAATAGAGGTAAATCTAACAACAGGGGAAAAAGTTTCTTCAAAGTCAACTCCTTCCTGTTGATTATATCCTTTCGCCACAAGGCGAGCCTTGTACCTCTCTATTGAGCCATCAGCCTTACGCTTTATTTTGAGAACCCACTTGTTCCCAATGGCTTTGCGTCCTTTTGGAAGGTCAACCAATTCCCAAACTTGGTTTGATCTTAATGACTCCATTTCCTCTTCCATTGCATGTATCCATTCTTCCTTATCAGGGCACTTTAGAGCATCGTTCACATTCTTCGGCTCATCTTCATCTTGTGGGGCGATCATGAAAGCTTCTCCTTCAATGTCAAAACGTCGACGGGGAATCCTATTACGACTTGACTGTCGTATGGAATGCTGTACTCCTGATGATTCACCCCGTTCCATTGCGCTCCCACTCGAATGAGATAATGGTGGTGTCGTCTCTTTAAGTGGTTGCAATTGAGACTGGGTTGCATTCAACTCTCCATTTGTCACAATGCTCCCACTAACTTCATTATCACGATCCACAGATTCGTATAGTGAGTAATCACCACCTACTTCGCCCTTTTTAGGAAATTCATTCTCTAAGAATGTGACATCCCGTGATTCAAATTCAGTTATACTTCCGCTTTCTTGCTCACCTATGAATACATATCCTTTTGAGTGCTCCGAGTATCTTATAAAAATACTCTTTTTGCCTCTTGGGCCTAATTTTCCATACTTGTGAGAAGATTCACGAGTATAGGCAGCACAACCCCAAGGTTTTAGAAAGCTTAAATCAGGCTTTCTGCCTGTCCATAACTCATATGGAGTAGAAGCAACTGATTTAGAAGGCACACGGTTAAGTATGTAGGCAGCAGTCAACAAAGCATCACCCCAAAAGGTGATTGGCAAGTTAGCTTGTGCCATCATTGATCTAACCATTTCCATTAAGGTTCTGTTTCTTCTTTCCGCAACACCATTTTGTTGAGGAGTATATGGAATAGTCAGTTGTCTTTCTATTCCCTTTTCATCACATAAATTTCTGAACTGATCAGACAGATATTCTCGACCTCGATCGGATCTTAATGCTTTTATTTTCTTGTCTAATTGATTTTCCACTAAGGTCATAAATCTTTTAAAGCAATTTAAAGCTTCAGACTTATGAGAAATCAAATCGACATGTCCGAATCGAGTATAATCATCAATGAATGTGATGAAATAAACAGACCCGTGCCTTGCTTTTACATTCATTGGACCACAGATGTCAGTATGGATTAATTGCAAAGGAAATTCAGCTCTTGTTCCTTTTCCAAATGGTTTCCGTGTTGTTTTTCCTTCTAGGCAATGCTCACATATGGGCAAATCAACCTTTTTAATATTGCCCAATAAGCCATCTTTAGCCAATCTATTCATTCTTTGTTGGCCAATATGACCAAGTCTAGCATGCCACACGTTCACATCATTCTCATAAGAATCAGATGATGTAAATAAGGAATAACTAACATTAACTTCACAATAGTCAACATCTAATACAATGAAACCATCTAAGAAATATCCGGAACCATAATAACTTGTATCTAAAGACAAGTCTACACCATTTTTATGGAAGTTTACATTAAAACCAAGTCTAACTAAAACCAACACTGAAACTAAGTTCCGACGAATCTCTGGAGCAAATAGCACATCATGTAGGAACAACGTGCGTCCACCGCGCATAAGTAGTTGACAGGTGCCAATGCCTCTGACCTCCACTCTTGAATTGTTCCCCACGTATATCCACTTCGTTCCTTGTGGAACTCGTCGGAACTCCACGAAAGCTCCTCTGTCCTTCGCTACATGGTCTGTGGCTCCCGAGTCTACAGTCCACAAAGGATTAGATTCGGTTAGAAACACTGAACTAGACACATAAGTAGCATTTTCATGAATGCTAAGGGTTTCTACCTTCTTTGGTTCGCCACAGTCGCGAGCAAAGT